TTAAGTTTTTATTGTGAATTAAGTGATTGTTTACATGGGAGAACATCGACTTTACATTCATCCTGTCGTATTTCATTTCATTGCAATGATTACAGTCCCCTCCAGGCATCATCATTCAGCAGTATTTGCTTCTATTCCCTCTGTTTTTGTTTTTGTTTTAATGTGCAAAAAAAAACCACTCAGGCATGTATGATCATTTAAACAACCATAGGGTACATTCTGCAAGCCTGCCTCCTGGTCACCAGCACACAGCCTTTCTCTTTCCATGAATCTAGAGTCCTCTGCATGTCCTTATCTCTGTCTCCATCTCAGGTGTCGCTGCTTCTCCAGATGGGTCCCACATTCCCCTTGTGCTCATCTCCCTTGATGATCCTAGGGTCCTTTGTTTCTGAATTATAAGATTAACTACTCTTCCCTTTTTGTTACAAAACTGCTACCTTTACAGTTGTGACAATTGCAATTAATCATGATAACAATTACTCACTATTGAATCATAAGAATCTTATCCCCATCTCCTTTCACCAAATCTGGCTAGACAAGATGAAAACTAAACTCCCTCTTGAAAACTTGTACGCCAGACACTTCGTGCCTTTATTGTCATCGCTTCCCCCAACCCCCCTCCCCTTCAGAATGTATTTTGACTGATACTTTGTAGCATTTTCACATTAATGCTTGTGGCCAGGTTCTAAAAACTGAGAGAATAATCAATGGATAAATGATTCATTGCTTAAATTAACTTGAGTAAGTTATAAAGTTATTTAGTGGCTCACTGCATGGCAACAGTTCTTTAGGGAATTGGCAAGAAAATCCAGTCATCCAGCCCTTGTGATATTTTCCCAAGAAGGACTTTATCATTTTACTTAAAGTGGTGGGAATTTTATAAATGCCAGGCCCACTTGTATTCAGGTTTTTAAGTGCATTCCAAAGGTAAATCTGAAGAGTTTGTAGATACTTCAGAACTTACTAAAAAAAAAAAAAAAAAAACCACAAAGGTTTGTTTTCATGCTACTTCTGTTCTCATAGTATGAGTATTAAAAATTGTCTTTTTAATACTTTTAACTCCCTTAGGAGTAAGCAATTCTTTATAGTGTAGTATACTATTAATTGGGGAGTGTAGTAATTCCATACAATAAACACCAGGCTGTGAATCATAAAGTCCTTGGTTTGAGCCCACCAGCCGCTCCCAGGCGAAAGATGAGGGTTTCTGCTCCTGCGAAGATTTAAAACGCCTTGGAAACCCTATACAGGGTCACTATGAGTTGGAACCAACTCAACGGCACTTAACAACAATAGTACTATTAATTGAATAACATTTTTATTGAAAACAATCAATACTGTTTGTATAGTAACTACTTGGCAGTTTTTAAGAAAAACAAGTAGCAAACATTTTTTGGTTAAATAGGAGACTAGAATTAATGGCAATAAATTGTATTTTATAGATTATGAATATACTTCATGAGCATCTTATTGTTTAAATTCTAGGATGTGGTTGCTATTGAAACTGAAGTAAAATCAATGGAGAAGAAAGTTTTAAAAATCAAAACTATCCTGTCATCTAAAGAAATATTTGATTTTTCACCTGAAGAAAATCTTAAGCATGGGGAGGTAAGCATGGGTCATTGTTTAAAATATTTTCTCATAATACTTATGTCTATTTTTAAATATGTAAAAATGTGGGGTGGTTTGAAAAAACTTAATTCTGCTGGAGTGTATAAATATAATTTCAAAACATATTCATAGTAATATCTATATAATTTTCCTAGAGGTAAGTTTGTTCATTGAATTTATTCTTGTAACTTGAAAGTTTGGAAGTTTTTATGTTAAGGGGAATTCATGTGTTTAATAGTCTAAGAACCTGAGCATCTAAGTCAGAGCGCACTAGGTTGTAGTCCTAGGTACACTGCTTAGCATCTCTGTGTTGTTGAACAATTAGTTAACTTTTCTTGGGCTATCTTTCATACCTGGAAATTGATATGAGCTGATTACATTGAACAGTTCTATTAACAGCCCCTCCCGTAGGAGCCAGTCCTGATGTGGCAAAGTCGTTTGAACTGCAAGGTAGTTCAAGCTCACCAGCTGCTCCTTGGAAACCCTATACAGGGTTGCTATGGGTTGGAATCAACTCAACGGCACTTCACAACAATAGCACAGGAACTGGAATATACTAAGCAGTGGACAAACATCAATTCCCCATTTAGTTTAGTGCCTCAAATCAGGCACTCCCTGGTTTTAATCCCAGCCCTGTCTCTTGCAGCAAACCTTTTCTGGGTCCTCTTCATTCCCAGAACTCAGTTTTCTTATGTGTGAAATGAGGTCATGATAACCTCCCTTCCTGGGCAGATGTGAGAATTAACTGAAATGATATGTATGAAGTGTTTAGTAAAGTAAATACAACCCTACCTCACTTACTGTACTTTGCAGATACTTTGTTTTGTACAAATTGAAGGTTTGTGGCAACCCTGCATTGAACAGGAGTACTGACACCTTTTTCCAACAACGAGTGCCCACTTCGTGTCTCTGTGTCATAGTTTAGTGATTCTCACTATATTCCAAATCTTCTCATGCTATTGCACGTTTAATAGGCTACAGTATAGTGTAAATATAACTCTTATATGCACTGGGAAACCAGTAAATTCATGTGACTCATTTTGTTGTGGTATTTACTCTATTGCACTGGTCTGGAACCAAATCTGCAATAGCTCTGAGGTATGACGGTAAGCCTTTCTAATTACTGGTTATGTAAATCCAGATTTCTGTGGATTGTTGTTGTTGCTAATTGCCATAGAATCAGTTCTGACTCATAACAACTCTGTATAGAATTACCAAGGAGCAGCTAATGGGTTTGAACCACCAACCTTGTGGTTTACAGGCCAGTGTTTATCTTACAGTGCCATACCAGAATGGATATTAAAGAAAAATATAATAATACTATTTTTCTAGGACTCATAAACTCTGATAGGACAGTTGAGTTCAATTTAGTAAGCCTTTTTTGAGGCCAAGGTTGCTGTAAGTTGGAACTCACTTGACAGCACTTAATAGCAACAATAACATGTGGAGAGCCATGTGTGCTAGGTTTTGGTTTTATGAACACGAGTAAGATGGAATACTTAGCCTAACATAGCTGAGAGCTTAGCGACAATACACAAAGTAATACAGCAGTTCCACAGAGAGAGAAGAGAGGGAATGAAGAAAAGGGTTGTCCAAAGGGATAATTTATTTGCTGATAGGTTACTCTCAGCCTAACCAGTCTTTTAAAAGGCCTTTAAGTACCAGATCATAAATAATACAATAGTTCTTTTAAATCTGAACTAAGGGAATGTTTAAAAAGTGAACTATAAAGACAAAATTTTATAGTATTTCCATTTTAAATAATGTATTTTATCAGCACACCCACGCCCCCCACTTTTTTTTTTTGTAAGGAGCTCTGATAGCATAGTGGTTATGAGTCAAACTGCTAACCTCAAGGTCAGTAGTTCAAAACTGCCAGCCTTTCTGCTGGGAAAAGATGAGGGTTTTTGCTCCTGTAATGATTTACAGCCTCGGAAACCCTATGTAGGGTCACTGTAAGTCAGAACCGACTCCGTACCACACAACCAACCAAACCAACTCCCCTTGTTTAATGTGCCATTTTCCTTCTTTCATAATTCAGGTCATACTTGAAAATATACGTCCCATGAAGAAAACCATTGCAGAGATCATGTCTTACCAAGCAGAACTGAGGTTACCTCAGAAAGGCATGAAACCTCTGCCTGTGTTTCAGCGAACAAATCAGCTTTTACAAGATATAAAACTGTTGGAAAATGTGACTCAAGAACAGAACGAATTATTAAAGGTGAGCAATGTATGCTAATGTACTACTTGTTTGATGAAAATGCTCAGTAAAAGCTGGCTTTGCTGTCATTTTTGGTAAATGGCAGATCAGCTTCCCATGGCAATAAGATACTACGTATGCTGGCTCTTGGTCTCTTCCAGAACTGCTGTCCTGGAGCTTGTACTTGAAATGTGAGGCTTTCTTTTCCTCTTTCTCAAATGGGACTAAGACAGTTTTTCTCAGTTTTTACCCTTGTGCTGGCTGAAGATATTAAAGCCTAGTTATAGTCACTTCCATAGTCACAGAAGACCTACGTGGATATAAGGATAAGGCGGTTTCTGTTGGTGCCTTCAAGCGGGTTCTACAGAGGAACTCTGCTCATGGTGAACTGCCCCCATAGAGTTTTGTCATCTTTGTAGAAGACTATACTGTAACATTGCTGGCTGGGGTCAAACCAACAACCTTTCAGTAAATGGCCAAGTGCATTACTGTTTTATCACCTGGTTGTGCATTAAGTGCTGTGGAAAGATACAAACCCAGAAAAGAAGGCTTTTTCCAGCTCACAAGATAGACAGTGATCATCAACATAATTCCTGCACATTTCAGCCACTTTCCGATTAATCATTTCATTTTATTCCCAAACATGTGATACAGATAGAATAGGCACTTTGTCATCTATGTCCTGTTTGCGTGGACAGAACCAAGTGCCAGAGAGTTAAGTGGCTTGCTAGCAGACCCCAGAGTTCATTTGTGTGTTGACTATCTGTGCACAGACAGGACAAGAATGAGTGTTTCTAAACTCTTAGTATCATGCTTTAAATTGAAGAATCTCAAGTTAAGAATTGTTGTTAGATTTTTGTTAAGTGCCATCAAGTTGCTTCCTACTCATAGTACCCTGTATAGGGTTTCTGAGAAACGCCTGGTGAGTTTGAACCACCAACCTTGTGCTTAATAGTCCAGCGCCACGCCAGGACTCCATTAGGTTGAAACACATTTTATTTTGTTTACCTAGATCAACAACCACTCCCATAAGATCAGAAAGTTGCTGAAAGAGCCTTAAATTCCAGACTTCCCAGGCCTCTTGGTAGCTGGTAGCCCTCTCCATCCTGCCTTTCTTGATGAGATGGGTCCATTTAGGGAGAAAGGGCTGTTTGTCTTCCCTTCCTAACTTCTTATTAAGTGTCATCGAGTTGATTCTGACTCATAGCAACCTTGTATAGGGTTTCCAAGGAGTGACTGTTGAGTTTGAACCATTGCCCTTGTGACTCAAACTGACCTTGTGGTCCAGCACATTATCCTGCAAGTACAGCATCATCACATCAGGACTCCCTTCCTGACTACCATCTGATTATAAGAAAACTACTATATCACTCTACCTCTTAAATGTCTTTCGCAATTTGGATGGTCACTCTTTTTTCTCCTAAGATTTGAGGATATTATATTCCCTGGTTTGAGTTTCAGCTCACTCTCTGTCTCGCCTGGCTGTGGATAACCAGCTTCATCTCCTAACACTCCAGGGAGAAAAAAGGTCTGGAACTCAATGTACTGATTTTTTGCTTTTTAATATAAAAAGAAGGAAAAAGGAAAGAATATAAAATTTGATCTATTATTTTAAATCTTGCTATTCTTTATTGGTGTCTGGTGAAGAAAAGAAAAAAAACAACCCTAAGTATGTTTTAAAGTGGCTTCTCCACATGCTGGAAGAGGGAAATGGCATAGGAAATTATATTTTGTGCCAAGTTAGGTATCAAACTGTGCTGCTGAAAATTTCCATCTTATTGTGTTAGTAGAAATCAGATATCACCTCAAACGTTTCAAAGCTAAGTAAACCAGTGGTAATAAAAATCATTAGAATATGGTGCGTTTTTTTTAATTCCAACATTAGGTTACTGTAAGTACTTTCGTGGTAGAAGGCAAGACAGATTACTTTGGAAGGACATAAGGGGATGCAGTTCATTATTGAAGGCTGGGGACCAGGTGTGTGCAGCAAACATAGTTATTAATTTCTAGCCTCCAGCTAAAAGCATGGTTACATATTAAAGAAAATACAAGGAAGAATTCTATCTTGGCCAGAAAAGTTATACTTTGAGAAGGCGTTTTGCCTGATTGTGATACAGATCAAGGAAGTAATTAGATTTTCATTTGAAGTCAATTTCCTTATCATCATCCATCATACTTTAAAAAAAAAAAAATTCTTGTGGAAAATATACATAGCAAAACAGTGAAATTAATTACATTCACTCTGTTGCACAACCATATCACTATTTGCAAATATCACTGTAAACAAAAGTTCTGTAACCCTTAAATAATAATACCTTTCACCAGTCCCTGGTAACCACTAATAAACATTTGTCTCTCTACATTTACTTCTTCTAGACTTTTCATATAAGTGGGAACATAACAATATTTGTCCTTTTGTGATCCCTCAGACTTACATTGCATCATTCAGTTTACAAACCAATTTGAGCTCAGCTTATCCCATGACACTAGATTTCAGGTACTGTTGTTAATAGTTTTAACTTACTTTGCAAATTCAGACTGAGCTTGATCCCTTTCTTCTGGCTCATAAAATGGTTATCACTGATCCCAGGGGAAGATGCAGCTAGATTGGGGAAATTCATCAGCAGTACTGTCAGGATGATTTGAATCACATGCCCTTTCTATCCCAAGTCATTGGGAAGACCTAAAGGGAGTATGCATTAACAATAGTCTGTTTGGTATGCCATAATTTTATCAATCTCAACAACTTCATATTAACATGTTGTAAAACCTAAGCTCGCTATTCTAGAAGTACCTAAGAGCTGAAGGGTATCCAACTGTACTCCAAGCACTGAATATGGTGCCCTGTGTGTGGTAGTACTAGATAAGGGGTCAGCTTTCCAAAAACGTTGTCTGTATTTAACTTACCGTTTCCTGATAATCACTGCCTGGGTACATATTTTCTGTAGCTGTTTGGAACTTCTGACAGGATCAAAATTTTAATTTAAAGACCTCTTGCCGCCCATTCAGTTCCAACTCATGGTGACCCCAAGTGTGTCAGTAGAACTGTGCTCCACTGAGTTCTCATTTTTTAGAAGTGGGTTACTAGGCTTTTTTTTATGCAGCCTGGGTGGATTCAAAATTCCAACTTCACATTTAGCAACCAAGTGCATTAGGTCTTTGTACCACCCAGGAAAGCAGGAAAGACTTTGGAAGTAACCATCAATCTAGAGCTAAATCCTTGTTAAGGCTCTTCTTCCTTTTTATTTTTTGGTGCCTTCTAGATAGTCATAAAACAGCTTAATGAATGTGATGAAGAAATAGAACATTTGAAAGAGATCTTAAATAATTATTCAACTAAGTTCTCCCTTGAACATATGTCACTAGACCAAGCTGCCAATCTGCCACAAGTACAGGTATGTTTTTTTCATTCATTCTTCCGTCTGTCAATTCATTCAACAATCACTCTTGGTGTCAGAAAGCTTTTGTTGGTGTTGGTACAGTGCATTTCCTACCTAACTCTTCAATTTGAAAGTATTTTCTGCATGTTTATCCTTTCCATTTCTGTATCATGAAATAATTGATTTTCTAATTATCGTAAATTAAAGATTATAAAATTATAGACCCCCTGAGAAGCTGTTATCTCTTTGTTGGTTGGACAATCCTGTCCCCAGAAAGTGGAGCACACCTGCTTCACCTGCTTCCTTAATGGAAAACCCTTCAGGGACATATGGAGTATCAGCTTAGTGCACTGTGTTCTGAATTTCCATGACTTTCTGGCTAGCTTTTGGGAATAGAGGTTCAGAAGGTGTGGGTAGGCTAGGCTTTTGGAGGTAGAAATCCGGAACACTGTTACAATGAAGAGTTCCATATACTAAGCAGTGTTTACATGTTTAATTGGTCATGTCATGTTGCACGGTGTCCCCTAGACTCAGTTATGTGTAAACCTCTACTGCCAGAGATGTTTCACGCTCTGTGTTTGAATGAATACTTCTAAATGAAAAGCCTGAAGCCTGATTGTTTGCCAGCGTATGTGAGAGAGCTGTGTTTTTCCTGCGATTGCAACAATTGGTATGGTGATCAAAGCAAGGGAGACCTATGACAAGTACTAACATTTAAGTGCAGTTGAGAGGCGTACACAGTGACACAGCTAGTGACCCATTAAGGCGGTCAGTGTGGGTGACTTTATATTGTAAAAACATCAAATTTCTCTTTATACTAAAAATTTACCAAGGATTCCAAAGAAATTTTTTTTTTTCCCTAAACAAAACATGAATTCTGTCTATCAGTATAGAAATTAAAGCTAAGGAGCTTAAAATATATTTACTTTAAAATAATAATACACCCATTATATTCTAATATAAATAACGTTTTTATGAAAATTACAAAAGGTAGTGAGAAGAATCATAGTCTTGTACATTTTTGCAAATTTTTTTTTATATCTGGCTTAATAGAAGACAACTAGATTCTCACCTACTTCTGCATTCCATTTGTTGAGATAGTTTTGGTTTAAATATGCAGATAATCAGTCTGATAAAGATGTCTAGTTGAAAGAGTGGGGAGTATTTCAGTAGCCTGTTTGAGTGGTCGTAGACATTGTTTTTGAAGCAACACTAAAAATTGGCCTGTGGTAGTCGTAAAACAGAAACCGAAGCATGTCAGTGAGCTTTTAACATACTCCATTTCATATATCCCATTAAAATCTCTGCGTAGTGATTATGAATTAGACTGCGAACCACAAGATCAGCAATTCGAAACTACCAGCTGTTCCACGGGACAAAGATGTGCCTTTCTGCTCCCGTAAAGATCTACAGCTCGTGTATAGGGTCGCTATGAGTCAGAATTGACTCCACGGCACATAACAACAACAGCATTCTCAATCTTTGAATGCATCTTCCAGCCATGCATGATTTGCAACATTAAGCTTGATCATTTGGAAAGTATTCTTTCACATTTCATTGTTGTTCAGTGCTGTCGAGTTGGTTCCAACCCATAGCGACCCTGTGTAAGGATTCTGAGCAGCTGGTGAACTTGAATCACCAACCTTGTGGTTCAAGACGACTTTGCAGTCCAGCACATTAACCCAGAGCACCACACCAGGATATTTCATTAGGTGATTATCAAAAAAATCTTATCAATAGCACCATCTGTCTCTTCAGAAAAATAGTTTAGTATTTAAATGTGTAAGTAATGTTTGCCATTTGTTATTTTAAATAAAAGTGACACTACCAGAAGAGAGAGAAAGAGAAAACAAAAACTAGTTCAGCTGGCCATTCATCACACAAATGCATTTCTGCAACTATCATCCTTTGTATGCAGCAGAAGTACTGTATACATACTTTCCATTTTGTCACACAGACTCTTAAAAAGATGTGTTGGAAATTTAAAAATGAAACTGGCAATTTTGAAACTACAAGTACACAGACATGACAGTGAAGAATACAGTATAAAATTGATACCCCTATCTTGGTTTAAGGAGCACTGGTAACATAGTGGAATATGAACTGGACTACTGATCCCAAAATCAGCAGTTCAAATCTACCAGTTGATCTCGGAAGAAAGATGAAACTTTCTGCTCCTTTAGAGATTTACAGCCACAGAAACTCTATGCAGGGTCGCTGTGACTTGATGGCACACAACCACTACCTTGATTTGTGATAAGGTGCCAAAACTTTTACCCTCATTCCTTCTGTGTCTCCATGCAATACCATTGCAGTAAAAGAGGCAGTGTTGTCTTAGTGGTGGTGGTTGTTAGGTGCCATGGAGTGAGTTGGTTTTAACTCATAGCAACCCTGTATAGGGTTTCCGAGGCTGTAAATCTTTACAGGAGCAGAAAGCCTCATCTTTCTCCTGTGGAGTGACTACTAGATTTGAACTACTTGACCTCGTGGTTAGCAGCCCAGCTCATAATCCGCTATGCTACCAGGGCTCCTTTGTTTTAGTAGTGTGATGAAAATAATCTTGGGCTCACAGACTGTGGACCACTTTGAGAATCACAGCTCCATGCCCTAATGTTCCTCTATAATGTTGTGCTTGGCAGTCTACAGTGTCTCATGAGTCTTGTTCTAATGATTGTAGTGTTTTTGTTGGGAGACACTGCACCTCTGAAATTTAGTATCTATTGAAATATGGAACTTAAACCACAATTTATAATTAATTCAGACAGGTATCGTCTCTCAAAAGCAATCACAGGAGTTTGACTTCATGCCGAATAGTTTTATTGGCCTAAGAATGTGTGCAGGAGGGGTCTGGGGGAGGTGGGTGTTTGTAGTCTGTTTTTGAATAGTTGCAGCTATAGACAAATCGCTTTCTTTCTCTTCTCTCTAGCCTTCAGAACACTTGTTTGTAAGAGCTGTTATTAAATTATATAAAATATAGAAATATTAAATTTCTCTATAAAAATTAGTAATTAAATATCTGTAAAATAGATTTGATTCTATAAGTCTGTAATCCTCTTAGAATAGTGGGCATGCCTACCATGTATAATAATTTTTTTTAGGTAACATAAAGCTTGGAATCAGTTGTCCATCAGTCCTATAGGAAGATATACTTCATAGTATTACTGCTATTTATGTATTTATTTCCATTGGGTAGGAGATTTCAACTGTGAGTAAAAAGTTAATGAATTCAGTAGTATCAGGAACCTCAAAGCCATTAATTAAAGTGTAAGATTGATAACCTTGATTCACAAACATTAGTCTGCCTAAGAATCTCCTGGAGAATGTGTTGAAGTTCAGGTTCCTGGGACTGACTCCGCAGATCCTGTCCAGTCAGTCCTATGGCAGACAGCTGCTAGAGTGTGATTGTCTGCCCCACTTGAGCACCCCAGACTGCAGCTACCCATAGAGCTCAACCCCCAGAGATTCTGGGTGGGGCTAAGCCATCCTATTGGTTACAACGCCTCCACAGGTTATTTGGAAATACAGCCAGGATACTATACTATACCAGAAATGAGCTCCTAGCTCTGCAAACCAGACAGCATAGAAAAAGTTTAATTCCTTTTATCCCAGGAAGCAGACTCCTGTGGATAATCAAAGGCCTCAAACTTGCCAAAATGGTGAAAAGGCTTTTTCTTCACAGAGAGAAATGAACCATATGGAAGAGCAAATTCTGAGTCTAAACCAGAAAAAAGAAGACCTATTGGTGAACTTGAAGGCTGCGGTACTAAACCTTCATCAGCATCTGAAGCAAGAACAAGAAGAATTAGAAAAAGAAATGCTGTCAGCTGCAGTACCAGAAGAGGGTGGAGTGGTCGAGAGGGATGTTTCTGAGTGGAGGGTAAGTCTGATTGTTGGTCCCATTACTCTACTGTCCATGGTTTTCACCTGAAAACTCTGTGGCATCTTAAGTCTGTGGTCTATAGTAAAGGAATTTGAAAACTAGAACTATGCCACTTGAGATTGTTTACTAGTGAATATAAATCTTCAGGGTGTGTTCTGGACTCCATCCAGAATTCTTACAGCCAGGTTATTTAATAATGTGCTTATGAAATTCCATGGGCAGGTAGATAGGAAGCCACCCTTTGAAGTATCTTCTTAATGAAAAGGTAGCCCATTGCAGATTCAAAACTGGGGTACAGCACTTCTCTAAATCTGTGCTGCACCCATGTTCATGAATCACATTCTTGAATTGTTTGGAAGAGGGGTTGGTGGAGGCAATGCAGATAAAAGGGATCTGAGATTTGATGAAGTCAGGCATTTGATCACATGCACTGAAAGGTGCCGGACATGGAGGCTGCTTATGTGGATGGGCATCTTGGATAAAGTGAGTAAAAAATTAGCCACACAAAAATGTGGCCAGGCAAGGATCGTGTGATGGCCGGCTGTAAGTGTTCTTGTGCTGTGTCCTTCAGCTGAACAGAAGGGGCTCCATGTCTCTCCTGCCCGCCGTTGTGGAAGAGGCTGAGGAAGGCTCCGTGAAGAGTGAAGTAAGGAAACTAACTTTCACGATAAAAATTTGTTACAATTGAAATCTTTGAAAGCAGATCAATAAAAAGATTTTCAAATGAATAGAAACCTAGAGCTTTTTTCAGATTAGTGCGGATATTTTATAAGTGATGGAAGTAGCTCCCTTATGCTATTAACATTGTTCAAGTGTGTCCAAAAACTATTTCTGCCCGTGAAAGTGAGATGAATGTAATTCAGACACACTTACTGGCATGAGGGAGAAGATGAAGTTCTTTGTAATATTCTGGCTTCTGAGTACTTTGAAGTTTTGAGAATATGCTGTTCAGCACTCCTGGTGTACTGTTTGAAACTTTATTTTTCCGTAGTTGAATTACTTGTAAATTGGGTGAAGGTTTGTAGTTGAATTATGTTTTAGCCTGAAACAGGACTGCCAAGGACATGAAGAGTTAGGTTAGCAACTAATAGTACTAATTCCTACTACTTCATTATAACTCGTAGAATGAGGTACGATCAGGATGTTTCCTGACACAGATTTCATTTCATACTTTAAAGATGAAGAGTGGGTCTTCCACAGTAGGCCAATGTCCAGAGACCCAGGTCTGTTCATGGTTACCTGGTGGGATGGGTGGGAAGGGGATAGTGAATAAGGGGTACAGAGTTTTCATTTTAAGATGAATATTAGAAATAGATAGTGATGATTGTTGCCTGGTGAATGTAGTTAATGGTCAAGTGGCAGTGGTTGAAATGTTTGTTACATACAAGGGACGTCACAAAGTTCATGGAAAAATAGAATTTAAAGAGAATGGAATTTTTCCATGAACATTTTGGAACTCCTCTTTAATTTTGTTACATATATTTAATTATAATCATGTTTTTTATAAGCACAAAATTAGTGGGTCATTTACAAAAAAATTTTTAAATCACAGCAACTTATCATTCTTATATCTCATGGGGGCTTCAGAAAGTTCATGGAAAAGTTCCATTATCTTTTAATTCCATTTTTCTGGGAACTTTTTGGAGCCCCTTCATATAAACACCGGATACTTTCATGCTCATTTGATAGGTCAGTAAATCGCCCCATTGTGACACAGAGCAGATCTCTTTTCCTATAGAATTCCATTGCTTTGCTTCTCTGGTAAGGTCTCTAGGTGGTAGAAGGAGTCCTGGTGTGGCACTGCAGGGTAATGCACTGGAACGCAAGGTTGGTTTGAACTTCAAGGATGGCAATTCAGATCCACTAGCTACTCCATGGAAACCCTATAAAGGGTCATTGTGAGCCAAAACTGAGTCGGTGACACTTAACAACAACAACTAACGTAAAGGTTTGTGATTCAAACCCACACAATGGTACCATGGTGGGAAGTCTTCGTGATCTGCTTCTATAAAGATTACAGCCAAAAAAAACCCCAAAAATCTCCACAACACTATATGCTATGGAGCAGTTCTATTCATAGTATCAGACGATATTCTGATTAAGCTTCTTTATGGTAGAGAGAATTATGAGATAGAAGAGATACTGGAGTTCAAAAGAGTACACATCAGTATGACTTCAATTAGAGACGTGTTTATCTTTGAGCTGATAACTTTATAATATCCATTTATCTGTGGCCATTAAAAATTATTCATCACACCAGTTTAAAGATAACGTTTAAGATTGTATTTACCACAGTTGTTTAAATTCCTAGAGCCCTGGTTTTTGAAGATCCCTTTTTTTGTGACTGGTTTTTAAAGATCCTTCCCAAGGGGTACACCTTTTTTTTAGGCTGCAGGCAGGGCCATCACATGATTTAGAAGAAATAAAGGAAAACTAGAGGCAGAGGTGGAATTAAGGGCTCCAGTTACACTGATTGGAAACATGAAATTTGTATCATCGAGGGAAGTAGAGTGCTGGTTATGATGTAGGAAATCTCTTTCTCTTTGCTAATCAATTGATTGCTATATTAGAATGGAGATAAGAAAGCAGAGCCACCTGCCAGGTCTTGGTCTTTACTCTGGGAGCATGACAAGGACAAGGAGGAAGACAGAACATCCTCATCTTCTGGAACCATCATTCAGGTAATGCTGGTTATGTTAGAGTTGGGGAAGGGCAGTCTTCTTGTCTACCCTTCCATGTTAACTCTGCTCTCTCTCTACCCCTTTACCTTTATTTGGTTTTCAAATGGCACTTTTCAAGCCTCTAAGATGCCAACTTGTAGCCCAGATACGGAATGAAAGAGAGGGATAATAACATGAAGGAAAACACCATCTTGTTTGGAAGTATACTTAGGAAGGAATTAGGCTGAAAATTTTAAGCTGCTCCTCATCACCTCAGCAAAATGTAATGATAGCCAAATACCTGCGTATTATTTGCATCTCTGCTGCATGTTCATTGATTGTAAGGACTGATTTTTTTCTGAGGAATACAAACTAACAAAACAGATAACTCAGACGAACACCTAAAAGTTTGACCACAGCGTTCGCTCAGAGCACTTAACATGTGTCCTCTTGAAAACTGAGGAGGGGGTGAGATCTCCCCATAATCTTATTTTTTTAAAAAGCAAAGCAAAATAGTGTATAAGATTAAGATAAATCACTAAAACAAGGTAATTTTGTTCCTTGTGACTCTCTAAATCTCCAGTCTCTCAAAATAGAGGGCAAATGCCTTCACTGTAGAAAATCTGTATAAGGTGATGCTGAAAACAGTATCATACTTTCATTCCTAACAGATCTCTGTATCTTCACAAAATCTCCTTCCTGCCTCTTGTCCAGGGCTAAACCTTCTCCCCAGGTCTTGTGCTAATCCTTTCATTAATCACTGGTACCATGCTCTCCTTGTACACGCATCCTGAGTCTCTGCCTCTTGGCAGGTTCCTTCCTCCACTTCAGAAGTGCTCAGGTTACCCCACATCTAAAATGCTTGCTCCTCATGACCTTACCCCTCCAAACGAAGGCCCATTCCACATCCTAGCCTCGTCTTTAATTGCTCATCAGAAAATGCATTGCATCCTTGGAATGCCCTTCTTTCCCTATGAGTCTGTATACGTCCTGCCAACTCTCAAAGGTCCAGCTCTACTTCTACCTCTTCAAAGAAGCCACCAGGGAAATTGCTGTCTTTTTCTCTTTGTTTTCTGAACCTCAATTATGACTTATTACAGTTTTATGCATGTGACTGACACAATTTCATGAATGGCAAGAATATTACAGATTTCTCTATTCTGTACTGGGTTCCATATGGCATTGTAATGAATTGAATGTTTTGATCTGACATCTCATGTCAGTTACTGTGACTCCACTTTGATTTACTAATAAATGTCTTTATTGGGTACTCCATTTCATTAGCCCCTTTTGTAATCTAGCTTCTGCCCCTGGCTCTACTCAAAATACTTTCTAATCACCATAGACCATGGGAACACCAATTTGTTGTCCTTTTACCCTTTAATCCTTGTTGATTTGATTTCTTCAGCATTAGACCACTCATTGAAATGCAGTGCTCCTTTGAATTATTTTATTCTGCACTTACCTGCATCTTCTACCTCCAAATCTTCCTCCATCTCCTTCTCTTGCCTCTTTTTCTCTTCCATCTCCAATTTTAGGTATTCCCCCTGTATTATATACGCTTCCTTCTGTCTGTTTTCTCTCCTGGAGACTCCTTCTCCCACAGGTTTGCCATTTTCTCGGTGGTTCTTGGATCAAATCTCTAGCCTTGACTTTTCCCTGGGTCTGTTCAACACTCCTTGCTTCCTAATAGACTTCTCTAGCTGAATGTATTTTATTCATCTCAAATATTTTACCAACTCTTCCTTCACAGCTTGCCCTTCCTCCAGAGTTTTCAATGCCTGCTAATGGCACCAGAGTCAAAGATGAACTTCAGAGTCATTTTACGTGCCTCCGTGTTCCTTACCTTTCACAGTCAATCACTGATCAAATAATGTCCATTCGATCTTTGCATCCTTCCCTTCCTTTCCATTGTTTTTGTCATCATCCTATTCTAGGTATTTGTGACTTCTCTGTACGTTTATAGTAGCCTTCTAATTGGTTTTAAACCCCCAGCCATCTTTCCTAGAGTGTCCCATACAATTCATGCTAGATGAAGCTTAAAACCCTTCACAGAGTTGCATTTTCTACTGCATGAGAGACAGAGTTCTTAGCCTCGCTTTCTAGACTTTCCATGATCCAAATCTACTTATGCAATTGTATCTAATCTTTACCTTTACTTCCTGATTAATTTAGCAGTTATTAGTTTCAGTTGAAGGTTCTGAAAACAACTAGTACTTTGTTAGGAACTACTAAACACTTTATTTACCTCATCTTGTTTAATAATCACAAGCACAGGTGAGGTAGGTTTTATTACTACTTTAAAGGTGAAGTAACTAAGTCTCTAAGCTCAAGATAACACAGCTTGGAATCAAGATTGACTAATGACATGATTGGAGCTCTTCCAAATACACTGTTAATTATTTGTGTATATGTCATTTCCCTGTTGCTTAACTTTGGTTAATCTTAGAAGTAGGATTGCTAGGTCTAGTTTTACATATATTTTAAATATGGCTTACCTTGCTGAAATGCCCTCCAGGACAATTCTGCCAACTTTATTCCTACCAAAATATATTTGTTATTAAGTACTGTGGAGTCGGTTCCGACTCATAGTGTTCCTGCACAGGGTTTTCAAGGCTGCAAATCTTTACGGGAGCAGAAAGTCTCATCTTTCTCCCACGGAACAGCTGGTAGTTTTGAACTGCCGACCTTGAGGTTAGCAGCCTGATTCGTAACCACTATGCTACCACAGCTCCTTACAAGAATATATAGAAGTGCCTATATCCTGACCCAAGTTGATACTTTATGTTGTTGCTAAGTGCCATTGAGTCGGCTCCAACCCATAGCAACCCTATATAGGGTTTCCAAGGAGTAGCTGGTGGGCTTGAACCATTTACTCTGCAGTTCAAACTCAACTTTGCAGTCCAGTGTATTAACCCACAGTGCCACGCCAGGACGTCTAGCCATATTTAGCCAGTGTTAAACTGAAGTTGTAGATGAAGAAAGTTGAATATCTCTTCAGATATATGTTGACTTTTGTAATTCTTCATTTTGAATTGCTTATTCATAACATTTGACTATTTTTCTACATAGAGATGGATTTTTTGCTTGTTGATCTATAATAGTCATTCGTATAGTAAGGATATTAATACTTCATAGATAATTATTCCAGTTTGTCTTTTCTCTTTTAGGTTATGGTGTTTTTTACTATGTTTTATTTTTATCAATGCTTCACTGTCATGCTTTAAAGTCCTTCTCCACCACAAGATTAAACCATGATTAACTCATATTTTTTCCTAGACTTTTTATGGTATATAACCTTTTATATTATATTAAAATATTTTTAATACAACTAAAATTCTTGTGTTAAGGATTTAGTTACATTCTTCCATGAAATGTTTAGTTAGGTGTCCACAAACTTAATAAACTTCTCTTTCCCTATTATTTGAAATATAGCTTTGATCATATAATGATATAATGATATTATTATACAATATAATCTTGTTTACTTTGAACTCTTGTGAGAGAAAGATGAAGCTTTCTGCTCCCACAAAAATTTACAGCCTTGGAAATGCTACATAGGGTCACTGAACCGACTTGACAGCAGTTAACAAAAACAATCATAATTCTTATAATAACTATTTAAATTCATACATCTAAAATGCCCCTGTGTGCTGTTTATTAACTAAAGAGCTTTGGAAAATTTAAGTCTTTCAAATAAAGTTAAACCTCCTGAGGAAGCTGATTTTTGTTTTCCAAATGAACCTGGGTTCTCTGGGTGTTTTTTTCAAGCAGGCTGTTTGTAAAATGAGCAGGCACAGGAAGATTGGCTGTGTGGTAGCAGAGCAGGAAGTATTCTGACTGTCATTTGTATCTATACAGAAGGCAGATGGGAGAATAAGCACATGTGATGAGTCCATGGCACAAATTCTTGCACCAGATACACTCAGCACTGAGCAAAACCCAGAATTTTCCTTAAACCCCAACCAACCCAAAGAGGTAAGTCCCAGCTTATAAGTCAACTGCTCAGATATTGGCCTAGTACCTAGAGAGATAACCAAACTGTTTTATGTTCCTCAACACTTTGTAGGTCAGGCCAAGAGTTTCATGTGAACTTTAATACCATAATATATACTGCCATACATGAACTAGAAGATATACATGTAAAGTCAGCATGGCATAGCGCAGTTGGAGAGGGTTCCCTCTTACACCATTAGTCAAGGTTAACTAGTTTCCCAACTTCTTTGTTCTGTAGGCATAGTTGCAGGGAGAAAAACGTGGAGGAGGGCTACGCTTGATTAACTGCCTAGTGTACGAGGCATTTCTGTTTGTACCTGTTTTATCTTTAGAGGTACATTATGTTGTTATTAAGTGCCATAGAGTCAGTTCCAACCCATAGCTGACCCTGTATAGGGTTTCCAAGGAGCAGCTGGTGAGCTTGAACCACCAACCTTAAAGTTCAAACTGAAGTAGGTTAATATCGACCATAAGTTTACAAATGAGGAAACCAAAACTCAGGGAGTACAAATATAACCAGTAAATGAAGGAGTAAGGACTCAAACCCAGAATGTTCCAATGCCATCTGAATTGGAAATATTCTACCTCAGTAGCTCCCAAGAAGGCCTCCCTAGGGGACATTATTTCATAAGCTTGGAAAACACTGAACTCAGAATTAAGAGTTATCTGACTTTGGGCCGGTAAGTTATGTTTGGGTCTCAGCTTCTCAGGACCAAAACTGTGAAACAGGACATGTCTGAACTGACGAACCATTAACAGGCACGTCCATTTCTTTGCCTGTAAAAAGAGGTTGGCGGACTAATCATGGGTATGTTCCCGAGACTGCTTTCTCACATTCACCATTAGGTTCTTTTCAAGTTCAGGTAACCAGCAAATAAAGTGTAGACTTGCTATTCAAGTTTCCTGATTCCTCATTAGTTGAATGAGTTAAAGAAGGAAACTCAATACACTTTCCAAAAGTACAGGTGTCCCATGAAATCTTTTCATAAACTGAAATGGTGTAAAGTGAAGAAGCCATTATCGTTAATTTCTATGGGAAAAAAACTGTGAACATTCCCAGACCCAGAAAACATTCTACGAAGTCATACCAAATAAGAAATAAAGCCTAAAATAACATTAGCATGTAGTGTCCACCGACACAGTTCAAATTTATGGTGGCTTGATGCTGAGATGGTGTGTTGACCACATCACTTTTGTTGCAGGGATGTTCATTGACTAAAACTTACTGCAAAAAAATTCTGAACACTAATTTTGCTTTTTGCCTTTTTTGTTTTGTTTTATTGTAAATTATGTGATAGTTTACATGGGAGAACCTTAGCTTTACGTTCATCTTATCGTATATCTTTTCATTGCCATGGTTACAATCCCCTCCATGAATTATCAACCAACCAAAGGATATACCATGTAAGCCTGCCCCTTGCCTTTTTTTCAATAAAAGCAAAAGTCCTCTTTGGATTTCTTTCAGTTAGCAGAAACAGGTACTAATGTGGGTCCTTTGTAAAAGTGAAGTGGCTTAAAGTGAATTTTCTAAAAGTGGAGGGTATTTGTACTGTCACTAAAAATGTGTTACATGTAATAGGTGCTCAAATAATACTTTTCTAGTAAATAAAGAAAAGAAGGTAAGTGCAAAATCTGTTTGGGATTGTTAACACAGGTGCCAAAAAAAGTCGATCCCCAAATCTTTGCCAATAAGACAGCAATATCTGAAAGGTAGAAAACAGTGAAGCCGATTATAAGAAATTGATGTCTGTAGTAAAATCACACAAATGTATTTTTTTAAAAATCAAGGTTGAAAAAGAACTGAATGAAGCAAATGGATCCAAACTATATAAGGGGGCTTCAGAAAATTTGTAGGAAAATTCCATGTCTTTTGATTCCATTTTTCCATGGCCCTTTGAAGTCCCCTCATAGACATGACTAAGTATTAAATATAAAGAGAACACAAAGGAAGGCTCCCTACAGAAGACCATTCTTGAAGAAAATTATAAAAATACTACCGGGGGGAAAAAAAAAAAAAGATTGCCGAAAGCCAGGGAGAAAGTAGCCTTTTGGAAGAAAAGAGCAAATATGCATGAAGCTAATTAATGGTTAAAGGAAAGGAGTACAATCCAGAGATACTTCTGCCAAACTAGCTTTTCACAGTACTCATCCATGTGTGTTCAAATGAACAGCATTTTCATGTCCAGGGTGTTTTTCTTACTACTGTCAATTTTGTTCACTTCTGTGGTACTGGAAGTTTTACGTGTATACAAAAATCCTCAAATATTGGGAAAAGTGCATTTGTGTGAGTTTATATTTGTGTGAAACCCCGTATCACCAAGGGGCACTTTGGTTATATTTCTTTCAAGACTTGTGTATCAGGAGGCACCAAACCTTAGAAGGACATCCTGCTTGTAAAAAATACAGGATCAGCAAAAAGAGCTTCAGCGAGATGAATTGAAACATTGGCTGCAACAGTGAGCTCACAGAGCCTGGTATCGGATCAGGCGGTGTTTCACTCAGTTATGTAAGGTCACTGTGTCTGAAGCAGCTCAGCGGCATGAAACAACAATATACAGTTGTGAGAAACTCCCATTACAAGTCTTGTCATGTGGCCAGAAATTGTTAAATGCCGTCGAGTTGGTTCTGACTCAACTACCCTGTATGGGGTTTTCAAGGAACAACTGGTGGTTTGAACTACTGACCTAGCGGTTAGTAATCCAAAGCTTATCTTATCAAGCCCAGAAATAGTGCCTCATTAAACATTAATGTGTAGTCAGCAAAATATAGAAAACATCATATTTAATCATAGACAGTAAAAAATATTTACTGAGACCAAAAATTATATAGTGTCTAAAAGGAATTCCGCTATATGGGTCAATATACTCTCTCAAAATTCAGGAAAAGGGTAGGTAATACAGTAGGAGGCAAATATACCTCTGTATTAAATCATCTGTTATCTCACATTAAAATTTTCTAATATAATGTCTATAATATTTTATTTTGCTATCTGGTTAAAGTTTTTGCATTGGATTAATAAATGATTCAGTAATTTCCATATAAAAGAACACATTACACTGTCTTCATACTAAACTATAGGAGTCCTGGAGTCTTGGTGTGGTGCTGCAGCTTAATGCATTGGACTGCAAAGACAGTTTGAACAGCAAGGTCGG